TACTGAATGTCCTGATAGATGGTGGACGAATCGGGTACATAGGGAACCCTACTGTAAATATTGTTTCATACCGAACGGGGTGTGGAGACTTAATAATTTGGCGCTCATACCAGACGGGATATGAGGACAACCCGCTTCACCCTCATACCGGACGAGGTATTGAGATTTGATAAATTAATACTCATACCGAACGGGGTATGAGGACGGCCCATAATTAAAAATGATAAATAAAAGGGTTCACGTGTAGTGGGGGCATCCATATGAACCCCAATGGATACTAGTAGGCTGGTGAAAAGAGTGGTAGTTATTGTTTGGTTTATTAATAATGGATATAGATTTATAATATGTATTATGATGGCTGATTATGCATAAAATATTGGTCTGTATGATATTATTGTTCTTACAGATTGTTTTCATAAATTCCACGATGATAAGTGAAAGAAAAATAATTTTATAATTGATAAATAAATTCATTAAATTTAATGCTCCATTAATGATTTACGATTTTATACCAACATTTACTTCTGCGTCGGTGATATAATGTGATATCCTTACTAAGCTAGTGTACCTTATCCTTTATTTAACTATTTCAGATCAAGAGAATCAGGTTCCAGACCCCGATCCGCAAGAAGATTGCGAATAAATGCTAGATATTTTCTATTTTACATTTGTTTCCTTATTTTTTGTATTTCTTTCAAAGAATAAATTCCGTAATACTGTTTACTACTTTTAAGTTATTGTGTAAGGAATGTAAACCTTAACCCTTTTATTTCGCTTCCGCACTTAAATTATTATCTATTTTCTTTTGGATTTTCGGAGTCGTTACATACCACATAATCAAATTTTAGTGGTAAAGATAGAAAATTTTTTTGCACCACACGAATATTTTCCATCGTCTCACCATATCTTCTCATCTGCCCCACTGTAAACTTTATCCTTGAGCAAAAATTTGAAATAGATTCAATATCCTTCATTTGCAAAACTTCAAATTCGTTTCGTAAAATTTGAAGTCGCATTTTCTTAACTTTGTCAACTCCTCGAAGGGAATTCTTCAAAATCCTCCAAGCTTGCTTTGTGTTGGTAAACCACCTTTAAAAATATAGATTCATCCAAACCTTGATGGATGATAGCAAGGGCTTGTTGATCATTCTTCTATATTTTCGTCAAAGCATTTTTCTCATTTTAAGTCAAGAATGCTTCATCTTTGGGTGAGTAAAATCTTTTTCTATAATATTCCACACATCTTGTGAGCTAAGTATGGCTTTCATGTGAAAACACCAACTCTCTCATAGTTTTCTTTGTAAAACGAGGAAATTGAAAAAAAATAAATTATATTAGTCATCTCTCTAAAATTTTAGAAAAGAAAATAAGAAACCAAACTCTTATACCAGTTTATTGGAAAAATTTATAGAAATAAATTAATCAATATAATATTTTGTTGAAAATAGGAGAAAGAAAAAAGAGAGAATAACAGAAAAACTCAATTTTTCATTTGTGGTAGTTGTTAAAAATCTTCGAGTACATCAGTATATATAGGTACTAATACAATTCTTAAAATTCCAAATATATGAATGACAATTATGAACCATAACCACCTAAAAAAACTCAAAAGACTCATATTGAAGTTTAATTCAGAAACCATAATGTACAAAAAATGAAAAAACACATTTATATCCTTAATTTCCTATAAGATAAAAAATTCCTAAATTATTATTTTAAACTCCTTCAAAGACAAAAAATCTCCTTACCTTGCAAATTATTATTTCCAACAATCGGTTGCTTTTGGAGAGCGCTATATATGATTACCTCTTTTGATCAGCTGCCATGCCTTTAGAGCCCTGACTCTCTCTTAAGTTTGCATACGTGTCCATATATGCATCCATCTCTATATCTGCTGTAACCAAATGACAAATGCGAATTTCAACTTCAGTTCTAGAATCCCCCATCGATTTTGATAACCAATTGAAAGCACTTAATAAACTCAAATAAAAGGCAGTAAGCCTTACCCATATTACTTCTATAAAAACTGTGGTCAAACCATGCTGTTCTAGTTCAAAGAATGTTTACACAAGGTTCAAAAAGTTTCTGTAAGAAACTTACCTTACTTGATGCTGCTGGGATCAACATGCCAAACTGATGTCGATTCTTGCTCGGCGAAGGTTTCAAGAGTTATATACCATTCAAGTGTCAAACCATTAAAGATCCTGTCAATCTGAGCTACATTACATATAGGTGGTTTTATGTTTTTTTCCCTTTGAAACATAGTTGGCAAGCCTCCAAATCAAATGGTGATCATATGTTCATTTTTATTTCTGATATCTGAAAGATTTACTGCTGGAATCCCTCCCTCCAATATAAGATTTATAATAAATGAGGAAGTCCTGGAATCTTCCAAAAACTTATGTATTGCATCTCTTATGATCAAGCAGTTCTTATCCAATGAATTTGGCAACTTTTCTTTGCGAACCATTTCTTCAAATAATTCAAAAGCCAAG